GCTTAAATAATCTATTATCCTTAGTAAAATCTATTGGTAAAATACAAGAATGAGGTCAGAATGGATTAACAGATGAAATTAGGAATGATTTTCAATTAAATTAGATCCCATAAAAATAAAGGTCATACAAATAAAGAAGGTTTATTGCAAAATTCTCATAGAATAAAAACATGGGTTCCAAAAAAGTATATATTATCATCTTATTCCTTATGATAGAATACACTATAAAAATTAAAATATTCTTATTCATGAATGATGATGATAAAGGAGAATTAGACTCTTTTGAGTTTCATGAACATCATCCAAATATTATAAATTAAGCCACCATTGTGAACTTTAAAATTTTAATATAACAATTGAGACTATAAAAACTTGGTTTGAAAAATTAGAAATTAAATAAGTGGTTTTTATAGAAGAAAACAAAGAAAAGTAAAAAGAGAAAGCAAGTAGTGAGTTAAAGAAAAAGAGTTAAATGTTAATGTTATTTAATGTGGTCATTATATATATTGCACACATAGTTTAAGTGAGGGGAAAATCATATTTTAATATGTGATGAAGTTGGAATGATTGTTAATAACGGATTTAAAGTTCTTAAAGATACAATTTTATAGTAAAAAAACTGATTATTTAAGTAATTAAACAAATTTACAAGGTATTAAATTTAAATCTTTTCCTAATGAGAAAAAGGTGTATTTCCATCAATTCATTAAAATTTATAAAAATAAGATATGTGATATTTTAAGAATTTTATTTTTATATATAATTGCAATGATATATTATTAATGTTTATTTTGATAAATATAAAATTATTGTTTATTTGTCAATGATAAAAGCTCATTATTCCCTTTTTTATTTGGTGTAATTAATGCTAAAAACAATAATAATTGAATTTGGTTCTTTACATTTGAAAATGTTATTAAAACTTAATTTTTAATAGTACTGTTTGAATGGTAAAAAATATGTTAGAAGGTGTTCAATCAATGTTTAATAATGCATATAATGGATTTTTCATGAGACATTTTATTGAGAATCTACATAAAGTGTTTAAAAATCTTAAGCTTATTTATTTGTTTGAAAAGCATGTTACACACTCACACCTTTGAATTTTAATGCAATTATGGCAAAGATTCATAATAAAAATCCAAATGCTATTTTTTGGGTGTTAAATGTGTTAGAGCCAAATTATAACAATTGCATTTTCTTAAAGAATAGTAATCTAGATACTTTACAAGTAATATTTTGGAGTCTTTGGATGTGTAATTAATTTAAGCTTGAAATATATTTATCCTTGCGATGTTTAAAAACATTTGATGTAAAATAATTGGCTTATAGTAACACAACCAAAACTAATAGACAATGTAAAAAAACTTCTTCATAATGCAATTTTATGAGCGTACTATTGTATTGTCATGCATTTAAATCCTACTATATTCAAAATATAAATGCACAACCATACTAATGTGGTGAATATATTAACATAGTCTTATTCATGCTTTAGATGGCAAAAAATTAGATTGCCTTGTAATCACACGATTGTTATAATGTTATTAAAAAATGAGCATGTGCAAATTTATACTGATAACTTGTTTGCAGGTATGTTTATCCTATTGATATTGAGCATTTAAAAACAGATGGTATGTTGCCACTAAAAATTTGTAAACTTTTAAGATGTTTAAAAAAAAATTCACATTGAAAATCTTGAGAAATAGAAATGAAAATTTTGTTTTGGATGTTGTAGTTTATATGGTAATAACTGATGTTTTAAATTTTCTTATTGATTTTTAGTTATAACCTAATATAAAAATACTTTGCCTTTATTGTTTACTTGACCCTTAGTTGCCATAAACTTCCATCGGCAGCCTTGGAGTGGCCATGGCTTGCAGTGGAGTCTTGAGGTAGCAAGAGCCATTGTAAACCTCCTCTGTGGATGGTATTGTCCCTGGCACAAAGCTCCAATCAAAGCTGTGAATGAGATTGGCCACCAGCAGCTCCACTGTTCGCAATCCCAAGGGCATTCCAGGACACATTCTACGACCAGATCCAAACGGGAGGAGCTCAAAGTTTTGGCCTTTGAAATCGATGGAGCTCCCCAAGAAGCGCTCTGGGTAAAACTGGGTGGGATTCCCCCACACTGCCGAATCCATATGCACAGCCCAGACATTCACCAGGAGAGTGGTTCCCTTTGGAACGGTATAACCGGCAATTGTGGCTTCCTGGGTGGCCATGCGTGGGAAAAGGAGCGTTCCTGGAGGATACATCCTAAGTGTCTCCTTGAGAACAAGCTGGAGATAGTCGAGCTTTGGGAGGTCGGATTCTTGGACCATCTGGTCACTGCCTACGACTCGGTCAAGCTCCTCCCGGAGCTTGATCAAAACCCGAGGATTATGCATCACCAAGGCCATGATCCATTCGCTTGTGGTAGCAGTAGCATCAGTCCCAGCCATAAGCATCTCCTGGAATGAAAGTTATAGCAATCACAAAGTACATAAGAAGAAGTCTTACCAACAGATTTGCTTTAACGTGTGTTTCTCCCTGGGCATTATTTCCGTAGAACTCAAGCATGATATCAAGGAAGTCCTTGCATTCCCGTGTCGTTTCCTTGTGCTCGGCAATGATCTTTCGCAAGAACTTCTCTTGTTTCGCATGGATTTGCTTGTACCGAGGGATCTGCCAGTCCAGCCATCTTAAATACCACGGTACGAGGGTGCTAATGCACGAGGGATTGATCACCAGGTCGACAATGGAGAGCAGAATCTCTTTGAATTCTAAAGCGTCGGAGTCGACTTCGTCTTCACCAAAGTACCTCTTGCTCATCAAAATCCTGGACATATTGTTGAAAGCAAAAATGGAGAACAGCGATCTTATTTCCACGGGCTTGCTGTTGCTGAAAGACTTTAAGATCTCTCCCAAGGCATGGGAGAGCTCCTCCTTTCTCATCCACGCAAATGAATCGATGGACTTGGCTGTGAAGAGCTCCATGGAACACAGCTTGCGAGTGTCTTTCCAGTACTTCCCATATGGAGAAGTTCCAAGTCCCGAATAGTTATAGCTGAAGTGGTCGCCTAAAACCATGTATGGCCTGGAACCAAACTTTATGTCGTGTGTGGTAAATACTTCCTTGATTATCTTCTGGCTAGAGATAACCACAGTGGGCGTCATTCCCATCTTCAAGAACACAATGGGGCCATACTTTCTGGAGATAGATTGTAAACTCCTATGTGGGGGCTTTCCTGCCAGTAAATGAAGGTGGCCGATCAGGGGCAGTCCCCATGGGCCTGGGGGGAGGTTTTTGAAAGATCTGTAGCTCCATGATAGAACTAAGAAGAGAATAAAAGCTACAAAGAGCACAACTGGGAGGATTTCCATGAACGCAAACCTCTTACGCTGCCAATTGGAAAATTGCTTCTTTATAGGGAAGTTCATGACACAACACCATATGTTCTACGGTGGAACAGTAATTCTAGCAAGAGTTTGGTTCAATTGTGAGAATTGAACTAAACTCCAAGGCTACGCATGAGGTGTAAGACTTAGATACAAATTTTAAAAGAAAAAGTTTGAATATATGGTTAGCATCGTTCATGTGACAAATAAACCTGCAGATGCAACACCTCATCCAAATATCATAGAGCTCGCAAGGGGACCCAACTTGTATTGTACCTTGGAGCTGGTTTTGAGGAAAATGTAGCCACTATCTCACGTCCAAAACTCGCAAACTCGTCAGCCGGCTGTGAATCCACTGTCCATTCTTGGTTTCCTTCATATCAACCAACCAAAGAATAGAAGCTTCAAGTGTGTCAGACTTTTTGGTTTGAGCATTATGTGCAACTTTCTTTCTAGAAGAAGTTGACACGATTGAATTTGAACGATAGTTTGGCTTTCCATGAGTTTTCTCATAACACAGTCTCCCGGGAGAGCTCTGCAATCCACCAGTCAGTCAAAGCCACAAAGTAACTTTACTTTGGGTAATGTAAGCACGAAAGCCCCTAAAACTTATTCAAATGGACGGGCATACCGTTTCTCTACCAGCACTCTGCAACCTCAATTCTGTTCAACAGCAGGTTCTTAAGCTCATCATCGTCCGCGCCAACTAGCGGATCTGGCACCGCCACCAGTATCTTTTGGAGCAACTGCTTCACCTCCCGGTTCAGAAACATAAAGTTGTCTCCCAGCCCGAAGCACGTCAAATGGATATGGCCGTCTTCACCTTTGCCTTCGGTCCATAACACCCAGTTTGAGGGGCTAACCAGCTTTGGCTCCTGTAGAAAGACCAGCAGCGTGACGTTCCCGATATCTCGCGGTACGTCCAAAACACCGAACTCGCATTTAAGCTTGTCAGCTGAGATGGCTTGTAGCCACCCTGTATCGGGATTTGCTTGCAGATGTGCGGCAAAGCACGAAGCTCTTTCTCGACTCATGCTTGCAATCAAGACCATGCACCGTCTTCAACTTCGTGTACACCAGTTCTTTGGTTCGCGGTCAGTGCGATATGATGAGCTCAACATAAACCAAACGACAACCATTCTTCGACAGGCCCTGGATGACAAGAACAAGGACTACCATTCTTCTCGGCTTCACCATGCCATCTTTCCTACTCGGATTGGAGCTTTCGAGACAGTAATCTTGACGGAGAAAGCTGGGCCTTCAATGCTGGGGATCACACCAGTTCCTGCATCCGCATGTCAGTTGGCATGCTGCAGCTCAAGCTCGTTCCTTCATAAATGACACACTCTCAAAATATAGCCGTGATGCAAGACCGCCCTCTGATCGTTACTTCGATCCAGACTTTGAAGGCAATGCATGACATTCTTGAGTGCCTGATCAGCGGGAACTGCCGGAAGAATGCAGCCCCTAAACTCCGAGTCCATGTCGCAGTGCCGGAGGAACCGGCGAACGCCTTACGTTACCAATCCCATGATGCCTCTCATAGCCGTATAAAATACATATGACGTTATTTGTCGGTGATGTGTCACGTTTGATTTGTTCCACGTGTTCGAACCAAGTTATGAGGACTGGAGCAGAGCCCTAAGCGGAGACTTCCCATCCAGCTCCTCCCCCAGGACTTGCTCAAGATAGAGCACCATGGAATCCTCGGTGCTGTAGCTTGCAAGCTTGTCTGCGAGCTCCGGGGTCCGAGGAGGATAAGCCGAAGAATGTACGCTCGCAAGGCTGCAGTAGCAGACGTAAACTCCCAGCTGGCGACTTCCCCGTGCACGATGCCTGGACAAGGCAAGAGTATTATGCTGCAATGGATGCCTGTGCTTCACTAGTTTGAGAAATGCAGAAGAACGAAGACTTGCCCTCGTCCAACATGTTCCTCAGCTCGTTGATGTGCGCATACACTGATCTGGGTACATTAACATAATACAAATTAGTGCTGCTTAACGATGTTTAAAAATATTTTTTCCTCTCTTAAAAAAATTGAAAATACCTATAAAGTGATATCCACGATGCCCTACCTCTAGAATCTAAGCTCGCGATTACTCAGGCATCTCTTCACACACAGTGACATTGCCTCCTCATAAAGAAAGTTAATGCTCCCCAAGAGAGATATGAACAAGCTATGATGACAATGATATCAGTGGAATTTTTTTTTAGTATTTAAAATTAGGACGCCCACAAAGCTAACGAAAATAAAATTTCAGAAGAAACTAGTAATTAATAAATAAAATCAAAATAATCAAAAGATTAAAAGATGTACACTGAGGAACCCAAAGAACATGTTAAATGCTTTATTTCGTTAAAGTGGGACTTATTCAGTAAAGTGGGACATTAATTAGCATGTGTCCACATGCCATTTCCTAGTACTTAATTAATATTTATTAATATTTCTATCAGTTTTTTAATTTATTTTTTTATATTTCACAATATTATAACACAAAATCATATGAAAAGTTTTTAATTTATAAATTATAAAGTTAAAATTTCAATTTTTTATTATTGTTATAAAAATGGCATGTGGCCACACACCATAAGTGGGATAATGAAAAATCCCACTTTAACGAAATAAAGCATTTAAGACAAGATGCCTCATAGAGACAATACCATTGAGTGATGAATATAAAGAAGTGGTGGCAAAGATAGGATGCATTCCACTGAAAAACCAAGCACCTGCTTATGGTTCTGGAAATGAGACTAAGAATGGTTTGCTGAAGAAATCAAGTTGTTACGTAACAGATGAAAATGAGCTGGATGAGACTTGAATGTTGGACATTTAAACTGCAACAGAAATTTATGCAGTTTTTTTTCTAGACTGATGTCAAATATGATCCAACAAATGTCAAATGTGATATGTTCAGTTTGATGCTAATCTTCCATGTATCGCTCCAAAGGATATACCATGGAGTGTTAAGGTTAAGGAGCTTAGATGAATGCAGGAGAGAGAAAGCAGAGAGTGTATTGAAGAGATAGATAGATCACTTTAAACAAGACAGATTCAGAAGGCAAACTTCCGCTTCTTGTTCACACTCCCTCCCCCGGATCAAAAAAGTTAGTTTCGCACACTTCACCGTTTTGCTCGATGTCATTGACAATCTCGACACCCTTGGGAATCTTCACCTCCTCTGACACGGAACGGGAACATTGTACTGCAGCAACGCTTTGCACTAGCAATACCTGCATTGTTCGTTCCTTAAGTATGAGCAGCTACAAAAGCATATGCAACGAACCCTTCACAGCTTGTTTTGTTACCATATGGGACTTGTTGCGGTAGCTCTGGAAGCCGAACTGGTCATACTTCGATTCCACCAAGAGGAAGCAGAGTACAAACTCGTGCGGCTTACTGGTACCGGCATAGATATTGTTCCATGCCGCTACTGGATGGCGCGCTGCTAAAGTTGGTTGGGCCAGCGTCCTAGCGTCCTAGTGTAGTCACAGCCCCATTATTCTTGATCACTAGCCTCCATACATAGTGGATAGCATAGGCACCTGCCATCATTCGCAATTAGCCAACCAATGGTAACTCAGCTTCATTTTCCTCCAGTAGAACAATTTTCAAATCTCCTTTGTAGTATCGCAACAACCTTGGTCTCGGTTCCAAAGGCTGGCAACCATCGCATGCAATCCTCACAAGATTTCCCCGATCTTCAGATTTGCAGTTTCTAAAATAGGTCATATCCGGTGAAAATTAAAAGTAAAGGTTGAGTCAATAACATTAAGCCATGTCATTTTATGTATGGACATTTTTCCGTTTTGGCAAAGATCCCAAAGAATATTCTTCCATCCTCTTAATAGTCGCCTGTTTCTATCAGATCTATGCTCAACCTAAGAAGAATTAGTAAATGTAAAAAAGGAACTGATAGGCAGAATAGCTCCAAGTAGTACGTAAGCAACGGAAAGCTCCTCAAAAACAGAGCCTCAAAGCACCTCATATTCAGTCTGCATGAAGTGCTCCAGGTCTATCGGTTCCATCAGAGTGAATTGAGCCTGGACTTTTACACTGCAAAAGTTGAGGTAGTAATCTAGGAACGAAGAGCTCTTAGCCGGTTTAAGCAGGATATATCCTCGCCTAGTGATTTGCCTTGCATGCTTCCTAAGAATCCCCGCCAATATTTGTTTCAACCCTAAAAGCTAGTAGAAACCAAAAAAGCAAGGTTGTAGTACTAGTGATTCCTGGTTGGCAAACAAATAAAAAGATGGCGCTCCACAACATCGTGAAGAACCCACCAAGAAATCCCACTACAAAGGCCCCATTGGAGACGTTCTCCTTCCACCAAGTTGCACCATCGCCCACGTCCACGAGGCCATCTCCTTCGCACGGCCGGGAGAGAGGCTCCCCGCACAGTCCTGGATTTCCCTCGTAGCTCGACGCGCCAAACTCCAGAGTCTCTGGAATCCTGCCTTCCAAGTCATTAAACACGACCCTCAGATCCTTGAGCAAGTGAAGCCTCGCCAGTCCCCCTGGTATCATCCCGTTGATCCGGTTGAAAGAGAGATCCAGCACTGCCATGGACGTCATCTCTCCCAGAGTCCATGGAATGCCTCCAGACAGTCGGTTGTGTGACAAGTTGAGCTCCCGGACTCCAGCCAGCTTTCCCAAGCTTGCGGGAATCTCACCAGTGAGCTGGTTCGCAGACAAGTCGAGCACTCCTGGCACCTCCAACTCCCTTGCGTATTGCTGGTACGTGTGTCCATCCACGATGCCAGCCAAATCCTCGGACACAGTTCTTCGGTATGCATCGGTGGAGTTCTCCGGAAACACTCCCGCCGGTGTCATGGACGATATGTTGAGAGCCTGGTTCTTGTCCGCGGTCTGGAAGCCGGTCCATTCACCGATGGACGCCGGAATCTCTCCACTCAGGAGGTTGGAGGATAGATCCAGTAGCTGCAAGGAGTCACAGCTTGCGAGGCTGCCAGGAATACCACCCGTGAGCTGGTTCTCGGAGAAGTCCACCTGTGTCAATCGTCGAAGCTGTCCGAGAGTGGCCGGGATGGAGCCGTCCAGTTTGTTGTTGGAGAGATAGAGTATGGAAAGTTTGGAAAGGTTGCCAACGGAGGGAGGGATGGAGCCTGATAAGCTGTTGCCGTGCAGCCTCATGTCGATCATCTCTGGCGAAGCTGGAGCTGGAATCACTCCGGAGAGCTGGTTTCCGTAGAGGAGCAAACTCCGAAGCTTTGCCATCCTGGCGATGGACTCTGGTATTGCTCCACGGAAGAAGTTCCTCTCGAGGACCAGCTCTTCCAGGTTGGTGCAGTTCCCGAGCTCCTCTGGTATTGCTCCGGAGAGCTGGTTTCCATCGAGCATCAAAAGTCTGAGACGCTCAAGCGTGCCAAGCGATCGAGGAACGCCTCCCAGGAGTCTGTTGTCGGAGAGGATCAGCGTCTCCATCCTGGGACACTTGGACAGCTCGTCCGGAACGCTTCCTTCAAAGCGGTTCCCGTTGAGTGCCAGCGACCGAAGCCTTGTCAAGTTTCCGACGATCGGTGACAGGATCCCTCGGCTGTTTGTCCTCCCCATTCCCAGAAACTCGAGCTGAGTCATGTTCCAGAGCTGTTCCGGGACCGGACGGTCTGAGGTGTTGTTGAAATAAGAGAGTTGCAAGGTGGCCAAGCGCGGGAGCTGAAGCAGCGACACTGGAATCGAGCCATGCATGAGCGAGTTTCCGTTGATATCAAACCACTCGAGCTTGCTGTTGTTGCCGATCTCAGGAGGAATTGGCCCCTCCAGCTGCTGCAAGCTATACAGCGAGAGCGCCACCAAGTTTTCGAGCCGTCCAAGCTCATCTGGTATCCTCCCGCCCAGAGAATTCTCCCCGAGCGCCAAGAGCTCGAGAGACGAGCAATTTGCAAAAACTGGTGGAATGAGCCCTTCCAACCGGTTTCTCTCCACGAAGAATACTCGCAGCTCCTGCATAGCCCCGACTTCCTGCGGAATCTCTCCTTCAACATCATTGCTCGTCAGCCAAATCTCCTGGAGCTTCGAGCAGTTCGCAAGGGACGGAGGAAGAGAACCTGACAAGCGGTTGTTGTCCAGGACGAGTATCTCCAACCTCTGGAGCGCTCCCAGCTGGGGCGGTATCGGACCTTGAAGCTGGTTTTGCTGGGCGTTGAGAAAACGAAGAGCGCTGCAGTTGCCGAGATCCCGAGGCAAGCTCCCAGTCAGTCTGTTACCCGAGACGTCCAAAGCTTGCAAGCTTTGCAGCAGCCCAAGCTCCGCAGGAAGAGATCCGACCAGCCGGTTTTTGCTCACGTCCAAGACTCGCAAACTCGCCAGCTGCCCGAGTGCCGGCGACGAGATCTCACCTGTGAATCCATTTCCTGCCAGATGAAGCTCCACCACCTCTGAATCGTCACTGTTGCAAATCACTCCCTTCCAGTCGGTGCATGCTCGATCGGAGTTTTCCACAGTCCAGTCTGAGGTGTTTCCCAGTCCCAGGAGGCTCCTTTTCAATGCAACCAAGACCCCAGCTTTGTGTGCGTGTAGAGGATCCAAGCGTGCTCAACAGGATCAGCGAGATCATGAGTTCCATCATCTGCAACGTGTTACTACTTCACTTCTCTTGACGGAGAGCCCTGCAATCCATCAGTCAGTCAAGGTGCGCCACGATTTGAACTTGACTTTGCGACCTACCTTTATCCGGCACGATTTTCTTGCTCTCATTTTGTCCCCGCCAACTCTGTACGTGAAACATAAAGAAACGTAACTTCACCAGTGATCCCCACACGAGCAGGCTCCCTTCTCAAAGTGGTGGAACCGGCTCCCATCTCTCACAAAAATCCCCTTCTCAATGATATCTGAGAGGGAGTGGCAGTCGGAGCACACCCGGTGGCTGTTGACGACTCCCAGCGGACTAGAATCGTCTGGATCTTTGGCGGCGATCAGTCCGTAGGCGATGGCAAGCCTTTTGCTGTGGAAGCACAGGCTACGTTGTTTCTCCTCCTCGCTTGTGCCACCCTGCTGCTCCAAGTAAACTTCCCTCGTGTCGGGGACGTATCCAGCTTGCTTCATGGGCTCTAAAAGTTCCAGCAGCAGGGACCGGACCCTCTCCATCGTCCGGCCGTCGTGACCCTCGTGCTGCTCGTCTCTACCACCACTCGTAAACATGTGTAGCTCGTTGTCAATCTCGATGTAGCTTACTGCCACTGGGCTTGTCACTCCGCGCTCTTCCATCTCCTTCAGAACTCTTCGAGCGTCGTCAAATCGCTTGGCAGCGGCGTACATGTTGGAGAGGAAGACGTGAGGGAGAGTCTCTGCCGGTGCTAGCTCGAAAACTTTCCTGGCGGCTCTCTCGCCACGATCCAAGTCACCGTGGCGCTTGCAACCCGACAGTAAAGTCATCCAGGCCACTGCGTCTGCTTAGTTTCCACCAGCTCTCCGGCGTCTCCCAGTCTTCCCGAGCGGCCCAGAACGTCCACCATGCAAAGGTAGTGCTCCACCAATGGTACCACCCCGTGGTCCATCACCAAAGACTGGAGGAAATCTCGACAATCAGCCACGAGTGAAGTATGGCTGCAAGCAACCAAGACGCTCACGAACGTGATTCCGTCGGCTGGAATACCTTCCTGTAAATCCTGAGGTTTCTTACGACCGTGCTGTGTGAAGGCGGCGATCATCGCATTGCAAGAGAAGGCGTCTCTCGTCTTCATCCTGTTAAACACGCGTCTCGCGTCGTCCAGGCTTCCACACCTCGCGTACATGCTGAGCAAGGAAGTCTTCATCTGCGGGGACGCGAGATTGGCTTCCACAACTCGGTGATGAATCTCTCGGCCTTCGTCCAAAGCTCCCAGCAGTGCACAGGCATTGAGAGCACTGGAGAAGCTCACACCACTCGGCTCCACGTCCATCCTCTTGAGAAGGTTGAGAGCCTCCTGTGGATTCCCATGCTGAGCGTAGGCCGCGATCATCTTGTTGAGGACTTAAGCCGCAATCTCAAGCTGGGATGCCACGTCAGCAGAAGGGACACATCCGTTTAGGTTCTGTAGGTGATCACGCCCGACACATTCTGTTCTTGATCCGTCTTCCGCAATAAAGGTGGACCCAGCATGGAGCGCTGCTGCGCTCACAAGGCTGGGTATCCCATTTCATAACATGGTATCGGAGCCCGTGTGAAGAACGATCCTGAAGATGGGGAGTGTGCGCGACGCCATAGAGATCTTTGATGGCAAGGATTTCAGCGGATGGCAGGAGCAACTCGAGTACTACTTTATGCAGAAGGAGCTGTGGCCAGTGGTCGACGGTTCCTGGACGCGCCCTCCCACAACGGACAAGGCTGACCGCAAAGAGTGGGATGGAAAGAACATCAAGGCCTTGGGCATTCTAGGCAGAGGCCTGGGCAAGGTGTTCAGTTGCCATCTCGACATCACGAAGACTGCATCACGAAGACACCAGTGAGTGAACCGAAGCTCAAGTCGGTTGTCATCAAAGGCGTGGCGAAGTATCTTCTGACAACAGCGACTACTCACTCGTCAAAGAAATTTGACGAAATGGTCCTTCAGTTGAAGTCAGCAGAGAACTTGATGGAGACCAATGAGGGAGTTGGATCTCAAGATCAAGCGCTATTTGCTGGTCAATCTTCAAAGGGCAAGCGATCTGCAACAGTGTGGGACAGGTTGGGCCCAATGAATTCTCCAGGGACTGATGGAACCAGTGGGAGCAAGTCCAAGAAGAAGAAGAAGAAAAACGACGGCCTTTGCAACATTTGCAAGAAACCTGGTCATTGGGCAAGAGACTGCACCAATGAAGAAGCAAAGAAAGCCAAGGAAGCTAGAAAGCGAGACAAAGGCAAGCAAGTGGCTAACTTTGCAGCAGCTGATTCAGATGACGAGCATGGCAGTCTGTTCATGGCTTCGTTAGAGGATCAGCAGGTGACAAAACATGGTCTGTTGAAAGCAGAAGTAATCTGGGTGGACTCAGGAGCAAACAGGCACATGACATACATCAGAGAGCTGTTTGGCAAGCTGAGACCAGTTCCAGACGACAAGAGGATTTACCTTGGTGACGATTACTCGCACAGTGTGCAAGGAGTTGGGACAATCAAGGTGAAACTTGCCAATGGTCAGAAAGTGAACGTGAGCAATGTCTACTATGTGCCTGGTGTCAAGAAGACTCTTTTCTCAGTGGGGAAGATAGCAGACGCAGGCTGCAAGATTGACTTTAACGAGAAAAGGTGCACCATCTCACGAGAAGGCTATGAGCTAGCATCGGGACGCCGACATGCAGGGCTCTATTGCCTGAATGCTGAAGTGGTGTATCCTGAGAGGTTAATGCTCAGTAGCAGCGTGGAAGACAAACCAGCTACACTAGACACTTGGCACAGGAGATTAGGCCACTCTTCCATCAAGAGAGTACAGCAGCTAGCAAGAGGACAACTTGTCCGAGGACTGAACATTGCTCCATCATCAGCTGGATTTTGTGAGCCTTGTGTCCTCAGTAAGCAGCATCGCCTTCCATTTCGCTCAGGTGTAAGTGAAAGAGGGAAGGATGTCCTGGAGCTGGTACACTCTGATCTATGTGGCCCAATGCAGACCATGTCAAGGACAAAGAAGAAATACTTTGTCACATTCATCGACGATTTTTCAAGGATGGTAGCAGTGAAGTTTTTGCTGCACAAGTCAGAGGCCTTTGAAGCTTTCAAGGTCTACAAGCTGCAAGCGGAGCTTGAGACAAGCAGAAAAATCAAGATGCTGAGAAGTGATGGTGGTGGAGAGTTCACCTCTAACGCCTTTAAGGAGTTCTGTGAGCAAGCTGGAATTAAGCGGCAACTTTCAGTGCCTTCAACTCCTGAGCAAAATGGCGTGGCTGAGAGGATGAACCGAACTCTTGTGGAGATGGCACGAGCGATCTTGCAAGATGCAGGCATGCCAAATTTCTTTTGGTGTGATGCTGTGAAGACAGCAGCCTACTTGAGGAATAGGCTGATTACTTCTGCTGTCAAGGGACGAACACCTTATGAGGTGTGGTATGGGAAGGCACCAGACGTGAGCCATCTCAGGATCTTTGGGTGTGTAGCTTATGCACTCAAGGACGAGCCCAAGAAGCTGGACAGTAGAAGTGAGAAGTGCATTCTCCTTGGCTATGCAAGCAAGATGAAGGGTTACAAGCTCTTCAACCTGAACACCAGGAAGGTGATCACGAGCAGGAATGTCATCTTCGACGAGTCTAAGATGTACAACACCAAGAACCAGCTAGCAACCACCTCGCAGCAGATGCCGTTACTCATTAGTGGTAAGCAAACCCTAATTGAGGATAGCGACAGCGAGGAGGAAGATGCCTCTCGACGGCAGCGTGCACACTCAGGCGGAGCAGCTACAGGTGGAGGTGGAGTCGTGGCTCAAGTTCCTCCCAGGGCAGGCCGAACTCTTCCAAGGAGTGTCTCAGATCTCTCACCTTCTCTCAATTTCGAGGAAGGCAGCTCTAGTGAGAGCAGCCAGCAGCAGGAAAGCAGCCAGCAGCAGGAAGCAGCAGCACCTCGTAGATCCAGTCGTGTTCGTGTCTTGACTGAACAAGGACAGCAGTACAGAGAGGATGTGGCATTAAAGCAGGCTCTTGAGGCTTCTAGAGTTGAAGCCAGAGCAGCTCGTGATCGCAGTGCATCTGAGCCACCTCCAGTAACCTCAGCAGCATTTTATTATGCTGCAAGCTCACCGTCCCAGCAGCAGGAGGAAGTTCCTTCTGAGGACATGGAACTCGATTTTCTAGCACTCTTTCACCAAGCAGAAGCCACAGTACCCAAGACCCTGCAAGAAGCCTTGGCTGGTCCAAATGCAGCAGAGTGGCAGCATGCAATTTTCCTAGAGTATCAATCTCTGATGGAAAATGAAACGTGGGACTTGGTGGAGCTTCCTACAGGCAGAAGAATCGTGAGTACAAAGTGGCTGTTCCGGATCAAGTATAAGCCAGATGGCTCTATTGATCGTTACAAGGCCAGATTTGTAGCTCGAGGATTTTCTCAAGTAGAAGGAGTGGACTTTGCAGAAACATTTTCACCAGTGGTGAAACATGCATCGATCAGGATGTTGCTGAACATTGCTGCTCAAGAAAACTTGGAAGTCGAGCAGATGGACGTCACCACAGCTTTTCTGAATGGAGATCTACATGAGGAGGTCTTTATCTCGCAACCAGAGGGCTTTGTTGTTCCAGGGAAGGAACATTTAGTGTGCCGGTTGAAGAAGGCTTTATATGGCCTTAAACAAGCACCCAGGGCCTGGTACGAGAAAATGGACGCTTATCTCTTGGGTTTGGGGTTCTCCAAGACTTCAGCTGACAGTAACGTGTACTTGAAGCGAGTGGGAGAATTTCGAGCCATGATAGCTCTCTATGTGGATGACTGCATCCTTTTCTCAAGTGAAGGTGCTACCATGAAGCAGTTGAAGCTGGATTTGGGGTGCCGATTCAAGATGGTTGACATGGGACCTCTTCACTACTGCCTTGGCATTCAGATCTTCCGAGACAGGAGGAAGGGAGTGATTCAGATGTCTCAGAAGAAGTACATTCTGGACGTGGTTCAGAGGTTTCAACTCAGTGAGCTGAACCCAGCAACCACACCTATGGAGGTTGGTCTAAAACTCTCACAGGATATGTCACCGACAACACCAGCTGAACAGGAACATATGAAGCGGATCCCATATAGGCAGATGGTGGGAAGCTTAGTGTACCTGATGGTGTGTACGAGGCCAGACATAGCCTATGCAGTGGGAGCAGTTTCACAGCACTTGGAAAATCCTGGCTACCAGCACTGGTTAGCAGTAAAGCAGATTTTCAGATACTTGAAGGGGACTGCCAACTATGGTCTTGTTTACAAGCAGCAGCCTAGGGGTATTCAGCTCGTTGGATACTCAGATGCTGATTGGGCTAGTGAAGTTGACAAGAGGAAGTCCACTTCAGGCTATATGTTCAGCCT